TGGTCCCATTAGCCGCATCAATTCACACGGGCCGCCCGGAGTTGAGCGCGGTCAGCCGCCGATCTGGCAGGGCGGACGGAGACCCGATCAATCATCATCCATCCCCCCGTTCCTCCCGGCCGACCGCCCACTCTGCAGCCCTTTTAATTTAAAAAAATGGGTAATTAAAGGTAAACCACTCGGCCGCCGCCCCCTCGAGATTTTTGCAGGGGCCACGTCGGCGGGAGAAATATACGAGCGGCGCGTTCACACGGCAGGGCACGGCGCGGCTCGCTGATTTTCCCGTTGGCAATCCTTCCACTCCTTCGCCACGCTCGCAACATTTTCTGGACAAAGAGGATTTCATCTGAATGTTCATGGCGGGGGGAGGGGGGGGTTGTTCAATTCGTGCGCGCGCGTGTGCGCGTGTAATCCCATTACGAGAGAGTTTGTCCTTTGCGACGAAACAAAAAAAAAACACGTGGCGGGACATTCGGCGAAACAAACGAAACATTGTATATTCAAAAAATAAAAAAACCTGGCACCGTCAAAATGATCGGTGGCTGCAAATGAAATGGGACGCAGAGTCGCGGCTTGTGAGCCAGTCGACCCGCGTACCTCCACGCAGCGCCGCAGCTTCGTTGACGAAACAAAACGCCCCCCCGACTGACATTGACGCGCCCAGGAGCCAAAGCAGCAACGGATCCTTGGGAGTAAAAAGCAAGAGGCGATCATACCCTTTGGTCCTATTCGGTAAAGTCACGTAAAAAAAACAAAAAGTAAATAAAATAAAAAAAATTCACGACGTTTCGGCCACAACACAAGTGGCCTTCATCAGGTGAAGGGAGCAGACTGTCCAGCGCTGTCCTCTAGACAGTCTGCTCCCTTCACCTGATGAAGGCCACTTGTGTTGTGGCCGAAACGTCGTGAATTTTTTTATTAAATTTTTTGTTGTTTTTTTTACCTACGTGACTTTACCGAATAGAACCAAAGAGCATGGATCCTTGCAGTCACGAAAGCTTCAAATCTAGAATCAAGAGGCGATTGTTTTAACTCGCACGATGTGTTTTACGCGTGGACAAAAATATTTATATTTTTTTTATTAAACATTTCACCTGGATAAGCCCCCCCCCCCCCCCCCCCCGAGGCTTATTATTAAAAACTAAACAATCAACCAATTTAATTTTTTACTTTACCAGCTAGGACCCACTACTGAACCGCATGGCTCTCTTTTTCAGAAGCAAACCGGACTTTCACAACTGATAGCCGAGCGGAGTGGATTATTATTTCATCGATAAAAATATTTCACGCTGGATTAAATTTAATTAAAAAAAAAAAATACTCGTCAGGATGTACGTCTGTGCGTACGTTTAACTTATTTTGCACCGTACGAAGTCAACCGTGCCAATCGGAGGTGCGGGAAATCGTCACTGAAAGAACTCGGAGTGCAACGTGGATTTCAAAAGGTAGGCGGGTGGTGGGGGGAGACTAAAAACACGACAGATGACATCAGAATTCGTCGTTTCAAACGAACACTTTTAGACTCGTTCCACGCTGCCAGTACGAAATCCGTTCGACGAGAACAACGGTCACCCGCATCGCTCAGCAGCACAGCAGTAGAGCAGTTCAACACAAACACACACAGCGTGTTCAACACACACACACACACAGTAGTTTAACACACACAGTAGTTTAACACACACACAACAGTTTAACACACACACAGCAGTTCAACACACACACACAGCAGTCCAACACACACACAACAGTCCAACACACACACAACAGTCCAACAGACACACACACAGCAGTTCAACACACACACACAGCAGTCCAACACACACACACAACAGTCCAACACACACACAGCAGTTCAACACACACACACACAGCAGTCCAACACACACACACAACAGTCCAACACACACACAGCAGTCCAACACACACACAGCAGTTCAACACACACACACAGCAGTCCAACACACACACACACAGCAGTCCAACACACACACACAACAGTCCAACACACACACACAGCAGTCCAACACACACACACAGCAGTCCAACACACACACACAACAGTTCAACACACACACAGCAGTCCAACACACACACACAGCAGTTCAACACACACACAGCAGTTCAACACACACGCACAGCAGTCCAACACACACACAACAGTCCAACACACACACAGCAGTCCAACACACACACACAACAGTCCAACACACACACAGCAGTTCAACACACACACACACAGCAGTCCAACACACACACACACAACAGTCCAACACACACACACAACAGTCCAACACACACACAGCCACGCTCAGATCACGACCTTTAAGCTCTGAGCGTGGCTTTTTTCACTCCAGCGCTGTTCTCCAGACAGCCTCGTCCCTTCACCTGATGAAGGCCGCTTGTGTTGTGGCCGAAACGTCGTGATTTTTGTTGTTTTATTTTTTTACCTACGTGACTTTACCCAATAGAACCAAAGAGAATGGATCCTTGCAGTCACGAAAGCTTTAAATCTAGAAGGGATTCATATTCTTGGATCTTTCGGTGAGGTCACGTAGAAAGGAAATAATAAAATAATAAAACAATAATATTCTCACGACGTTTCGATTGCAACACAAGCAATCGTTATCAGGTGTGAAAAGCACAGCAAGAAATTTTTTAAAAGAAAATGTTCTTGCTGTGGTTTTCACAGCAAGAACATTTTCTTGCTGTAGGTTTCACACCTGATAACGATTGCTTGTGTTGCAATCGAAACGTCGTGAGAATTTTATTGTTTAATTTTTATTATTTCCCTTCTACGTGACTTCACCGAAAGAACCAAGAACATGAATAAGGTAGAAATAATTGTAGTTTTTATTTGCATAATTGTTTTTGCCGGTGATTTGCGTTTCCCTTTCCTCTGCTTTGCACTCCGCGTTGTGATGTTTACACCGGCGGTCGCTGCAGCGTTCTTAACCGCCCCCATTGGACGTCTCTGAAAAAGAGCTTCATAGCTCATCGGATTCCTCGAGTGTAAATAAAGATTCTGATTTTACATCGGAGCAAAAAAAAACAACATTTACAATTTGAGCACTAAATTTTGATTTAAAGCTTTTGTGACTGCAGCAATTCATATTCTTAGTTTTTTCGGTAAAGTCACGTTGAAGAGAAACAACAAAATAATAAAATATATATAAAACAATAAAAATTCTCACGACGTTTCGACCATAACACAAACGGTCGTCTTCAGGTGTGTTGGTTCGTATAATTTTTTTTATAAATAAATAAATGCGCCGTTTAAAAATAAATTTATACGAACCAACACACCTGAAGACGACCGTTTGAGTTATGGTCGAAACGTCGTGATAATTTTTTATTGTTTTATATATATTTTATTATTTTGTTGTTTCTCTTCAACGTGACTTTACCGAAAAAAACTAAGAACTTGAGCACTCTTATTCATTTGTCGTGGATTTACTCTCCCAAACACACGCTGAAGGAGTCACTAATTTGCAAGTTTTGTTTACGTGACGGATGGTGGCGGGTTTAACAACACATTGATAGTTCAGCCATCTAATCCCCCAAAAGAAAAAAAAAACCTTATCACGAATAATAATGGTGGCAAAAGCCTCCTACGTGTTAAACTGTCATTCAACGACTTCATTCTCCGCAGTTTTCCCCCACGTTTTGCTTTCAATATTCACGCAAGCGTACGGCACGATTGTTCCTGCCCGACACTGTACGTCCGTGTTCCCCACGATTCTTCTGCAGCTCCTTCGGCGGTACTCCATTCTTTAAACTAGGAAGCAAACGCATTTTTAATTTTACCCGGGTAAGGCCCACTGAGCTGCTGAATATTCAATTTTTCACAATACGACCTGGCCACAATGATATACTCAACGAAGTCGCTTGTCAAAATCGCGGAAATGTATCGCGGCAAATAACTCTAAACGCGCGACGTTGATTCTAAATTTGGAGGGGAAAACAGGAGGACCCGGAGAAAAATCCACACCATCACGGGAAGAGAGACAAGCAAAGTCCAAATATATATTGCCGTCAGGGTCGAGATAGAACCGTCCCCTTCTCGGGACGCCGGTGAAGTCAACAAGCCGCTTTATTTTTTGCTTAAAGACGTGGGGGGGGGGGGGGGGGGGGGGGGGGGGGGGGGGGGGGGGGGGGGGGGGGGGGGGGCGGGGAGGAGGAGCGCCTTTTCTGGCACAAAAATCTGCCACCCAAAAGCGCCATCCCGGCGCAGTTCGGCTTTTCGCATCCACCGTCCAGCGTCCACCGTCCAGCGTCCACCATCCAGCGTCCACCATCCAGCGTCCACCATCCCCCGTCCAGCGTCTGTCCACCGTCCCCTGTCCACCGTTCCCCATCCACCATCCCATGTCCACCGTCCACCATCCCATGTCCACCGTCCCCCGTCCACCGTCCCCCATCCACCATCCCATGTCCCCCCGTCCCCCGTCCACCGTCCCCTGTCCACCGTCCACCATCCCATGTCCACCGTCCCCCGTCCACCGTCCCCCATCCACCATCCCATGTCCCCCGTCCCCCGTCCACCGTCCCCTGTCCACCGTTCCCCATCCACCATCCCATGTCCACCGTCCCATGTCCACCGTTCCCCATCCACCCTCCCATGTCCACCGTTCCCTGTCCACCGTCCCCCATCCACCATCCCATGCCCCCCGTCCCCCGTCCACCGTTCCCCATCCACCATCCCATGTCCCCCGTCCCCCGTCCACCGTCCCCCATCCACCATCCCATGTCCCCCGTCCCCCGTCCACCGTCCCCTGTCCACCGTTCCCCATCCACCATCCCATGTCCACCGTTCCCTGTCCACCGTTCCCCATCCACCATCCCATGTCCCCCGTCCCCCGTCCACCGTTCCCCATCCACCATCCCATGTCCACCGTCCCCCGTCCACCGTTCCCCATCCACCATCCCATGTCCACCGTCCCATGTCCACCCCGTCCACACCGTCCCCGCGTCCCGCGTCCCCCCACCACCGCCCCGCTCACCGGATTCCTCCTCTTGCGGCGGCGGATGCGCAGCATCTCCTTGTGCTGGCGAGACACAAAGTTGACGGCGGCGTACTCGAGGAGCGCCGAGAACACAAACAGCAGGCACACGGCCATCCAGATGTCGATGGCCTTCACGTACGACACCTGTGCACGCGCGATGTGGGGGGGGAGGTGGTGGTGGTGGTGGGGACAGGGGAAGGGCGTCTTGCAATAAACGCGCGATACCTCATCCGCCGCTCGGAACTACGCAACGCACGGTTGAACGAGTAGGCTTTCGCTGACATGTATCATTCACGGTCGGGGTTTTTTTTGTGGTGTCGGATCGCGTCGAGCGAGCGTACGCGAGGGCTACTGCCCGTACCGCTACCCGACACGGCCAATCAAGTAAGGGTTTGTCGCGCGAACGAGACGTGCCAATTCGTTACGACGATATTACCCTTGATATTCGCGAACTTGATATCTGTGATTGAGGCCATCCGGCGAATCGCATCTGGAACTCGGCACGACGACTGCTGCATCGAGAGAGACAGAGGGCAAGAAAGTGACGAGAGATAAAGTGACGAGAGATAAAGTGACGAGAGATAAAGTGACGAGAGATAAAGTGACGAGAGATAAAGTGACGAGAGATAAAGTGACGAGAGATAAAGTGATGAGAGATAAAGTGATGAGAGATAAAGTGACGAGAGATAAAGTGACGAGAGATATAAAGTGATGAGAGATAAAGTGACGAGAGATAAAGTGATGAGAGATAAAGTGACGAGAGATAAAGTGACGGGAGATAAAGTGACGAGAGATAAAGTGATGAGAGATAAAGTGACGAAAGATAAAGTGATGAGAGATAAAGTGACGAGAGATAAAGTGATGAGAGATAAAGTGACGAGAGATAAAGTGACGGGAGATAAAGTGACGAGAGATAAAGTGATGAGAGATAAAGTGATGAGAGATAAAGTGACGAGAGATAAAGTGATGAGAGATAAAGTGATGAGAGAGATAAAGTGACGAGAGATAAAGTGATGAGAGATAAAGTGATGAGAGATAAAGTGACGAGAGATAAAGTGATGAGAGATAAAGTGACGAGAGATAAAGTGACGAGAGATAAAGTGACGAGAGATAAAGTGATGAGAGATAAAGTGATGAGAGATAAAGTGACGAGAGATAATGTGACGAGAGATAAAGTGACGAGAGATAAAGTGACGAGAGATAAAGTGATGAGAGATAAAGTGACGAGAGAGATAAAGTGGCAAGAGATAAAGTGGCGAGAGATAAAGTGATGAGAGATAAAGTGATGAGAGATAAAGCGATGAGAGATCAAGTGACGAGAGATCAAGTGACGAGAGATAAAGTGACGAGAGATAAAGTGACGAGAGAGATAAAGTGACGAGAGATAAAGTGATGAGAGATAAAGTGACGAGAGATAAAGTGACGAGAGATAAAGTGACGAGAGATAAAGCGACGAGAGATAAAGCGACGAGAGATAAAGTGACGAGAGATAAAGTGACGAGAGAGATAAAGTGACGAGAGATAAAGTGACGAGAGATAAGTGACGAGAGATAAAGTGACGAGAGATAAAGTGACGAGAGATAAAGTGACGAGAGATAAAGTGATGAGAGATAAAGTTACGAGAGATAAAGTGACGAGAGATAAAGTGACGAGAGATAAAGTGACGAGAGATAAAGTGACGAGAGATAAAGTGACGAGCGATAAAGTGACGAGAGATAAAGTGACGAGAGATAAAGTGATGAGAGACAAAGTGATGAGAGATAAAGTGACGAGAGATGAAGTGGCGAGAGATAAAGTGGCGAGAGATAAAGTGACGAGAGATAAAGTGACGAGAGACAAAGTGACGAGAGATAAAGTGATGAGAGATAAAGTGATGAGAGATAAAGTGACGAGAGATAAAGTGACGAGAGATAAAGTGACGAGAGATAAAGTGGTGAGAGATAAAGTGACGAGAGATAAAGTGACGAGAGATAAAGTGACGAGAGATAAAGAGACGAGAGATAAAGTGACGAGAGAGATAAAGTGACGAGAGATAAAGTGATGAGAGATAAAGTGATGAGAGATAAAGTGACGAGAGATAAAGTGACGAGAGAGATAAAGTGACGAGAGATAAAGTGACGAGAGATAAAGTGACGAGAGATAAAGTTATGAGAGATAAAGTGACGAGAGAGATAAAGTGACGAGAGAGATAAAGTGATGAGAGATAAAGTGATGAGAGATAAAGTGGCGAGAGATAAAGTGACGAGAGATAAAGTGACGAGAGATAAAGTGACGAGAGATAAAGTGATGAGAGATAAAGTGACGAGAGATAAAGTGACGAGAGATAAAGTGACGAGAGATAAAGTGACGAGAGATAAAGTGACGAGAGATAAAGTGACGAGAGATAGTGACGAGAGATAAAGTGACGAGAGATAAAGTGATGAAAGATAAAGTGATGAGAGATAAAGTGATGAGAGATAAAGTGATGAGTGAGATAAAGTGATGAGAGATAAAGTGATGAGAGATAAATTGACGAGAGATAAAGTGACGAGAGATAAAGTGACGAGAGATAAAGTGGCGAGAGATAAAGTGACGCGCGATAAAGTGATGCGAGAACTTGGTTTCTTATGACAATTTCCATCTATTTAATAGCTTGTTTACGTATTCATTTCACGTAATTCATTAAAAATTAAGGTAGTCGTAGGGCAACATCATCATACGCTAAATTTGCCGAGCACGAGCGTCTCCGCAACGCATCCGCCGTCGCGAATGTCGCTTCCGCTTCCGCACTCCTGGTTGTGTTCAGAGAGCAAACCCCACGACATTCACAGCTAAGGGGCCGTCCATAAATGACGTCACGCGATTTTGGACGATTTTTGACTCCCCCCCCCCCCACCCCCCCCTCTCGTCACACGGCGTCACAAAAAGTCAGACCCCCCCCCCCTTAAATATGACGTCACAAAGCTCTGCCCACCCACCCCCCCCCCCAAAAAAAAAAAAACCACATGCTTCAAATCGCTTTAAACTATTGTCATTGTAGTAGTGCGTATTTAATGTGGCACTGCACCTCTGATGTTGTAGGAGAAAACATTTACTAAAAAGTCAATTTAATTAAGTAGAACGTGTTGTGTTTATATTTATCTAAAGCTGCGCATTTTGATGTGACGTCACATTTCTCAAACACACCCCCCCCCCCTCCTCCCCTCGTCACACATCGTCACAACAATGTCCTGACTCCGCCCCCCTCCCCCCAACAGGTGCGTGACGTCATTTACGGACGGCCCCTAAAAGGTGCTTCGCGTTGTCGCTGGCGACTACGGCAAGCGTTCTGTCAGTCGACGGGCGACCGAGAGAACGGCGACGTTTCCTCGTGTCAACGCGGGCACGTTGAACTTAGCCATCCGTGCTAATCGGAGGTGCGGTGGAAGCACAAAAAAATAAACGCAAACAGCGGCAAGGCGATGTCATCACCTGTGCGCCTGTCCCTACCTGTATATTCATTTCATTTACCAGGCAGGGCCCACTGAGCTATTGGCTTATTTTTTTTTTGTTGCAGAAGCGACCTGGCCACAAACTGACAGCTCAACGAAGGGGCTCATCCTCGCCGTGTGGACATTTGAACCTCATGGCGGGACCCCGGGGTCCCATAAGCCGCCGGCTCTCGCATAAACTGCGTTGCGACGTCATGTCATGTCTGTTGAAGGTCGAACGATACGGCGATCTGTTTTCCTCTCGACGGGCTCTACGCGGTGCGCTAATCAAAGTGACAAAGTTGCGTTTCTTCTGCGCATTCGTCCTCGCTCCTGCGCTTGGACACGGCATGACAACAGAACTAATCCGCGCCAGGCGGATTAGTTCTGTTGTCATGAGCGCGGTGGGACGGAGTCGCCAAAAAATCAACTAGTTAATGACGATTTTGACTTCCGTTTATTCGGGGCCCCGGGGTCCCGCCATGAGGTTCATTCATTGCTGCCAAATGCCCTAAACGCACGTCGAATCGAAACGTGGACGGAAAAACTCGAGGGCCCGGAGAAAAAATATCCACGCGACCACGGGGGCAACGTGCCAACTCCAAATATACAGCATGCGTCAGGATCGGGTGTCAAACCCACGACCTCCTGCGTGGCAGGCGAGGGAGATAACATCTCGCCACCGTGGCGCCCATCGGAAGAAGGGTACATGGAAGAAGCCCGGGCAGTGACAGAATCGACGATGGCTGTGGTGCTGAACAATAGTACATATTCAACAAAGTTTTAAAAAATATAAATACAGGGGCCCAGAGGCTCTGGGATAACCATCTTGTTAATTGCATGAGACGCCTCTGAACTAACAAGTGCAGATCTTAGCCACTGCCACCCAACCTGTTCTTCCACCCCTCTTTGTAGTCTCGTCAAGGGCCATCGTCACGCGAACTCCGATCATAAGCCATCGTCACATCATAAGCCATCGTCACGCAAACTCCGGTCAGCCTCGCAGTAGCAGCGGCTGTTGGCTCAGCCATCGAACAAAGATGGTGGTCACCGCATCGCGGCGCTTTCAGACGCCCTCATGCCGATATGGGGAAGCCATTGGAGATGCGCGCTCTTAAATAATCATCTAGGGGTGGGGAATGTCCGGCCCGCGGGCCGTATAAGGCCCGGAAAAATCATTTGGTCTGTCCCTGCCAAGTGCAACCGCGCGACTCGAAATGCAATAAATCTAGGAGCTTTTTTCATGGCAACATTAATTTAATTTTGTATGGCCCGCGAATGATGTTATAAATATCTAAATGGCCCTTGGCAGAAAAAAGGCAAACCGATTTCTTTAGCACTGCTTTTTGTTTTTGTTATCATACGTGCGGCGCGAAATAAGTTCAACATGCTTACATACTGCCCATAGACTCAACACTGCCCATAGACTTACATACTGCCCATAGACTCAACACTACCCATAGACTTACATACTGCCCATAGACTCAACACTACCCATAGACTCAACACTACCCATATACTCAACACTACCCATAGACTCAACACTACCCATAGACTCAACACTACCCATAGACTCAACACTACCCATAGACTCAACACTGCCCATAGACTTACATACTGCCCATAGACTCAACACCACCCATAGACTCAACACTACCCATAGACTCAACACTACCCATAGACTCAACACTGTCC